AGGATTTTACAGTTCTGTAAATGTGCATATTTTTGGCCCCTCTTCAATATTGTAGAAGGGCCCGAACCTGTTCGAGGACAGTAGCTATGAGTTACTCATTCAACTATGCTCGTATCTGTTCAGATAGAATCAGGCTGAGATGCTGTCTGTTTTTCCTTTTGAGGTTCAGGAGAGTCGGAGAGTTGATACAGAATAGCCAGTGTTCCCCCTTGCTGAGGCAGGACCTATGACGACGCAGAATTCTGAAGAGTTCGTAGTTATGACGACTGCATTAGATCAAGGGATCACTATGCAAAGTGAGACCAACATTGATATGCCACATCCACCCAGGTCGCCTGTTGTGCACCCGGTCTGGGCCCCCCAGTTGTATCAGGCTCGTGAGCCCACCACTCTCCGTCTGGGATCCTTGCGTGTTGCCTCGTGTTTCCCACTCCACTGGGCCCGATCACTACTCCCTGCTTCTCCACTACAGCATATGGTGGACCTCCAAATCGGAACATCACAGTGGCCTTCCGCTTCAGCTCCTTATTTTCCTGCTTTCAGCACACTTATCTCTGCTCGCGCATCCTTATACATGCGTTGGAGCAGAGCCAGTTGGGCGTTTAAATGTTGCACCTCATTTGTCCTACTCTGCAGCCGGTTCGACAGTTTGTGACCGCCGTCGTGGTTTCCACACATGACTTCAAAGTATACTGATTGGCCTCCACATCCGACTGCACTGCCATTCTTTGCTCCACAGACCGCATCGAAAGTTCAACGGAGCAAACTCCGGGGCGCTTGGTTGAGATTCCAGTGCCACCGCACCAGTTATCTCTCTTGTTGACTCATTGAGGTCGGGAAAGAGAGTGAGTAGACCACGGGATGAAAGATGCCGTATTCTGGGTAGCTGAACGGGAAGAAGGGCCATTGTTCAGATGTTTCAGAGAAGGGTTGGATACAAAGTCTTTACCGAGTGTTTCAGAATGACAATGTTCAGAGAGTTTCAGACTGGTTTCCACAGCCTCCGCGTTGGTTTATATCGACCTGACGAAGAGGCCGACACGCGCACTGTCGATCACGTGCATCGCCGCGTGTCTGGCGCGCCTTTTGATGGCTCGTCTTTTGATGAATTGGGCACGCCTTTTGATGGCACGCCTTTCGACAGATTGGGCACACCTTTTGAGGGTGCCACTTTTACAACGGTCCGACATAACCCCATAAACTGTCCCGACATTGATTCCGGTTAGCTCCTTCATGGGTCCGACAAGACTCAGTAAACTGTCCCGAAATTGATTCCGGTTAGCTCCTTCATGGGTCCGACAAGACTCTGTAAACTATCCCGACATTGATTCGCGTTAGTTTCTACAAGGGTCCAGCAAGACTCCGTAAACTGTCACAACAACTGTCACAACATTGTCTCCTACAACGGTCCGACATGACCCCATAAACTGTCTTCTACATCGGTTGACACGACCATACAGTGTCTCCTACCCTTTTTTATTTTTATGTATTTTCTTGTTTTGTTCCTCTCTTCAAACTCAAGTTGGTTAGTTTCTATCCTCCTTGAGTTTGCGGGGGGCC